ATTTCAATGACCTGTAGCTCTACTCATATTTCGAGTAATACTAAAAGATATTCTATGCATCACTAAATTATTTTGTTACCACAATCGTCGTATTGACCAGGTCCAATTGTGATAAAGGTAAGAAATGCATACGACTTAATGGACCGAAACATTTCTTACCTATAATAAATGCTTCTTTAGACCCCTTCCCATTTTATTGTGCGTTTTGTGCTGTGTAACAGCAGTACAAAACGCATATTGTCCCTGGGTTGTCAGTGTGTGTGTGTTTGTGTGTGTGTGTGTGTGTGTGTGTGTGTGTGTGTGTGTGCGTGTGCGTCCGCAGCAACTTGTCCACAACTTTTAACTCGGGAACAACAAAAGCTAGGAAGCTGGAAATTTGGGGGAACTTTCCCCACCCAGGCATGACCCCTCAAATTTAAATTCAGCTTTCCGCGATAACACGTACGGCCCCGTGAAATTTTTTTATGGGTGAATTAATATCTCGGGAACCACGGAGTCTGGGAGGCTGAAATTTTAGGTAATGACCCTCTGCCCAAGCTCAACCTTGCCCATTCAAATCCAGTTTTCTCGCGCTTTCGGATACCACCTACGGCCTCGTGAAAATTTTGGCGGGTAAACTATTAACTCGGGAATCACGGAAAGATATTCATCCCTCCGAGATTTCGAATTCAGCTTTCATGCGCTGGTGCGTGAAATCTTTAACTGTTTTCCAATGTCTGAACTATTTTTGCATAGACAAAAGTACAAAGCAGTGAAAATCATTAATAGGCAATCGTTCGATGGTAGAACTATTTTTGCATAGACTAAAATACAAGGAAGTGAAAATCATTAACAGGCAATCGTTCGATGGGTTGAACTGCACAAAGACGCATGATCGCACCGGCTAGTCTGGTGCGCGTTGCTATTTATTACAATTACTCGCATAAAACACATGATGGCGCACCGGCTTAATTTGGTGCGCATTGCTATTTATTATCCTTTTCCTCCTTTTCATTGTTTCCTTCCTCTCCTGATATATTCTTTTCAATCTTTAATATACTGAGGGAGAACTAACTTATGGCCTCGATTACTGGCCAGTGGTGGAATGCGGTAAACGAACACTTCGGGCTTCACCAAGCAAACACTTTCGTATTCCTCTCCAGCCATCACAAGCGCGGTGCTCACCGTCCTAAATATCACCGGTAGAACTTTCTGCTTCTGTAAAATTTCTTCAATAAACGAGCCAAAGCGCGAAATAAGGTAAATTGCAACACGTTCCCATCGAAGTACTGCGATTTCGATCTGTTACGAGCAATATCACCACAGGCAATGTACGTCAGGAAGAAGAGCTGCACTGGTTTTGTGGCAAGAATGAGAGACAACAGATGAGCAAGAAAAACGGATTAATGAATGGTACCCGAGCAATCATCAAAAGAACGCGAAAAAGTAAGAGGTAAGAAATGTATATGACTTAATGGACCGAAACATTTCTTACCTACTTCAATAATTCTTTTCATGTTTTTCATCATTATTTCTTATATTTTCCCTTTAACCTTAAAAAGGCAGTAGACACGATGATGGGAATTGAAGAACCACTCTGTGCACGATGCCCGCTTCATATACATATACCATGTATGTGTGTGAGAGAAGTAACTCGACTGGTAGCAAATGCCAAAAGCAACCACTCGCTGGTAAGACTGTCGATGGTTTTGTCTTTGGAAAGTTGCTTAAAAGAAGCCAAGCCGACATTGAGTTTAACAGGCAACAACACTTCTACATATCAAAACCAGGAAAATACCGTCCCAAGATTTTGGGTACCAACACACCCACGTCAAAAAAGGACACACAACCCACCAAAGGCCGCAAAAACCCCGTCAATCCAACCCATCCAAGCTAAGTTGCAATATTACATGTGCAGTATGGCCGAGCCTTCTTTTGCCACAATTCGCGGTTCGGCCCCGCAGCTGTTCGGAATCTAGGGATGTGTTACGGTTTAGTTTGAGTCTTTATGGGTTTTTTGCAGCTGTGCAATGCGAAAAACGCATATTGACGAGAGGTTGTCTGTGTGTCTATGTATGCGTCTGCCACGCACTTTCATCTCAAGACCTATAAAAGCTATAAGGCTGAAATTTGGGGAACTTAATCTACATGCGCGTGCCGGCCCCAATCCCCGAAATTGGCGCCATCACCCGCGTGGTACCGGCGCACGGGCTCGCCAAAGTTTTTTTGGGGTATGTTCATAACTCGAGGATCTGAGAAGCTAGAATGCTGAAGTCTTAGGGGAATGTTCTCAGTCCAAGTATGTATTAATGAGCTCAAACCCAGCCCCTGGGTAGGCGTGGTGTCCGCGTACGGGTCCGCCAAAATTTTTTTCAGGTAAGTTCATAACTCGGGGATTTGAGAAGCTAAAAAGCTGAAGTCTTAGGGGGGTGTTTCCCGTCCAAGTAGGTGATAACTCAGGAGCCAGGAAAGCTAGAAAGCTGAAATTTCAAGGGGGTGTTTCCTGCCAGTTCTGGTGGCCAGTCTTAATTTGTTTAGCTAGAAGCATTT